AATCTAGAGTTCTTCCACATCCAATGTATACACCACAAAAACTGCAAGTAACACCACATCAGTGTAAGTTGTTCGAATTAAGACTCTCTTCTGACCAGTCCGCACTGCAACTGCAAAATGTAAAAAGATCCATCGACTTCTTAATAATTAAATGGAGCCAGCGCACCTGTGTCATGACTTTGCAAACAGATGACATGTTCCTAATAGTCGACATTACTTGCCTATTTGTGTGAAGCTCTTATATCTGCTTTGCAAGGAATTTAAACAAATCTCTCTTTTGTCATCGACTCCAAAGGTCTGCCAGTTCCCTGGTATGACGGAGTTGTCATAAACTTGTCTTCGAAGGACTGTTCCAAGTGACATTCGAATTGATGGTGACATATTCATCCTAAACTATGTCAACAGGATGACAGTTTTTAATCTGTCTCTGCACATAGGGCAAAAATACTTTAGCACCATAATCACCAAATGTATGACAGGGAATGCGGTTTAGCATATGGATAGCAGTTGCACTATCCAAGACAATGACATCAACATTTGGAGCTTTATCCTGATTTTCCTATGAGACTTCAAACGTTCAAGAAGACTGAATTTGGTGCCAGCACGCAGATTGCCATTATTTGAAAGTATTGGTGGGATAGGGTGGTTCTCGTAAGAAAAAACTAGAATCATTCTAAATCACCGTCTCTTCTCTGGCAGGAAATGAAAAGCCAAGATAACAATGAACAGTCGCTCTTTTGTGTTGTTAAAGTCTTGTGTTTGTTTGAGACTTATCTGGCAGGGGTGTTGTTAAAGAGGTGCAGCGTGTTTTTCTTGATTGGGTCACATATCGCCGTGGATCTTGTCGGAAATCTGTAATTTACAAATGATTCACATTGCTCTCTTCCTATTTGGTACGCTCTTTGGACATCGGTGGCTACATCAGAATCCATAACATCTCTAGTGTCCAGCTTTACCAGATTCTGACTGTCCTAAAGAAATGGATTTCCAAATTCCTTGATAGCTTCTGTCAAACTGTTGACTTGTTTAGTAGTAAACTTTTCGTGGGTGAGCTGCTCTCTGTTCGCGATGTTAGTATGATGTGTTTTAGTAATGCATTGAGCATCAAATTCTTGTGCAATTCTGGTAATTTCAGACCCACAAACCATCTAACGATGCAGTGTCTTAGGGTTTTGTGTAATTCCTATTACATCTCTATTACTCATTACCAGCGTATTATGCTGTTCGTGAGCTTGATCTATAGAGACTGATGAGATGGTTTTCTCTGACCTCCTTTCACGAAGTTGCCCTTTGCGAATTTACTTGCCTCAAGTGGGTGGGTCTGCCCACAAACTAGCCATGTCTCGAACATGCACCAACATCCACCTTGCATAGTGAACATTACGGAGTGACAGTTTGGCAAAAGTTTTCAAAATCAAGTGGCTTGGGTTGGATTATTTGTCTATCGGCCACGCTGGTTCCGAATATGTTTGAATCTTTAACATCAGTGCATTAAAAGGTTTGTGGATACTTTTCGGTTCGACATAAAAAAAAACAAGAATAATGGTAGACATTCTTTATTATTGGCATGTATGCTTCAATTTATCAGCAGCACACTAGCACAGATGGCACACTAACATTGGCTGTCCCCACAGTGTCCCCTCAGTCCCAGTGTCCCCACAGTCTAGCACTGGTAGTCCTCTTTCTTAGCCCTCCGCTTGTTTCTCTTCCTGGCCTCCAGCTTGTTCCAGGTGACCTGGTCCTGCTGCCAGGCAGAGCTGGCCACGTCTGCCGCCTCCGTGGTGAGCTTCACTCCTCTTTCCACTGCGGTGGTGGTGCAGGGCAGACCTGGCTCACTGTACGGTTCCCCAGAAATTGCTCCAGTTCCTGGTCACTGTGCTGGAACAGGATGGGAGGGGAGGAGCTGGCCTTCTGCAGATCAACCAACTCTGACAGCTTGGTGGCTGCCACTTTAGACTTGTCCCCTTCAGTTATGATGTTGTCTGCAGCTCTGATGGTGTTTGCGATGTGAGCCACTGCATCATTGGATACCTTGAACCTGTCAGCAGTTTCTCCGATCCTGTCCTCGGCTTCTTTCTCCCTTTTCCTTTTCTCTGATCTTGCTCTCCTGTCGACCATAGCCTTGAACTCATTGTCATTGACATCCTTATAATCACTATCTTCTTCCTGAGCACTGTCATCCACTGCCGACACTTTACACGACATCCTCTCCATCTCCTCCTTACTCTTTGACCTCATCTTCTCAGTTTTCCTCTCTTCCTCAGCCCTTTTCTTTGCCCTCTTCGCTTCCTTCTCCCTCTCTTCTTTCAGCTTGGCAGTCACAATTTTGTCAACGCCATCAATGCAGCCCTCCCTTCCCGGTTTCCTCTGGGCTGCCAGGAAGCTTTTCTCTCGTTCGTGCACTTTGCTGTCGTCTGCCACATCAAACAACTTCTCAGCTATATCCTCGAACCTCATCTTCAGCTTCCCGTTCTTCGTTTTCTTCCTTTTCTGTTTCTGTCCATTTCCCTTCATCATCATCGTCTCCCTCCGCATCCTCCACAGGTCGTGGACTCTCATTTTCACCCTGATTTCAGAGATAGTGGGGACAGTGGCCTTCCTATACACATCCAGTACCTTCTCAGTCACCTTGTTGGTGGCATCCATATAATCAAAAGCATTTGTTCTTCTCCTTAACCTCTCGTTTTCTGCTTCATAAGCCAGGGCACTTCCAACTTCCTTGTTCAGAGGCAACTTGTTAGATGGCAGAGGCATCCGAACCCCGAACACCTTATCGTTACCCTGGCGCAGCTGAGTGTTGCTAATCTTAGGACGACCCATCTTGGTGGCGGCCCTTTGAACTAACTGCAAAACAACACAGAAAAACAACTTTCAGCACTTCAATATCACCACCTATTGAACAATATTTTATTCAAAAGTACGGACTGAGATTTTGTCCTTAACTGTCCAAGTCAAGCTACTTGGGCTGAATTCGTTGATCAGTCCTGGGACGAATATTACCAACGGCGTGAATAGATTCCGTGGAATAAATTCAGGGCATTCCCGTCCAGGGAGCCTCAACAAACTCTGTAAATATTGCCATTGGCCTGCCATTGGCACATATACGGAGTTTGGTAATGTTCCATGAGCGGGAATGTCCTGAATTCATTCCACGGAATCTATCCACGCCGTTGGTAATATTGGGCCCTGGTTTTCGAAATATACGTATGTGGTGACTTGCAGCAAAAATATCGGCATAATTTGTAGCGCATTGAGTTGTAAAACAATAGCATATTATGAACCAGTGTACACAGTAGTCGAATAATCCAATTCAATAACTTGATTTTAACAGGTTGTGCCACATTGCCAGTCCCTTTATTATTTACAGTTTTTTCGCGTTTTTCATGCCAAACCCAAAAGTATCCACAAACCTTCTAATGCAATGATGTAAAAAACTCAAACATATTCGGAATTAGCGTGGCCGATAGACAAATAATCCAACCCAAGCAATTAGATTTTGAAAACTTTTGCCAAACTGTCACTCCCTAGTGAACATGGTCCAAGCTAAAAATCATGTTACAAGGCAAAGATACCTTTTATGATGGGCCTCACAAATACTAGTAGTTTCTCGAGATTTGACACTGTCATCCAGAAATTAAACAGTTGACTATATTTCCTTCTGCGTCAAATCCACCCATTTAATGTTTCAGCAGTATTTGCACTTTGGTATGCCTCTCGCAACATAATATGCAGACTGTAGAGGGTGACCAGGTGGGCATGTCTTGTTTTCACTACATTTGATGAAAGTGAGAGAGAGAGAGAGAGAGAGAGAGAGAGAGAGAGAGAGAGAGAGAGAGAGAGATGATTTGAAACTAAAGATTTTCTCCAATATCTCTTTCCTTAAAGCAGTTTATGTGTTGTTTTTACAGCATTGCAGGATTGATAACGTAATAATAAGCAATAGTTTGCATATTTACTAGACATGAAACAAAGTGCACACACACAGAGCCAATGTATTAAATATAATCTAAAACGACTATTGACAATAATTTACAAAGTGTATTAAAAACAATTAACAAGCGTGATAAATGAGGGAAAATAGAATGTTACAGCACCAAGCAAATTTATGTGTTATAGGTTCAGGGTAAATTCAAGCAAATCAAAGATGTATATAGCGCTAAGATCTGCTACTACCTCCTGGAAATGTATAAAAAACACGTTTTATTTAGATAACGAAAGCAACTATATAAGTTCAGAACTCATTTCTTTGGCATAAACATGCATGTATGTAATAATAATAATAATAATAATAATAATAATTAACGGTTTATTGAAAGAGCTTGGCAGCCAGAAGGCTGAAAATATACAGTGTGTGTGTGTGTGTGTGTGTGTAATAATAATAATAATTATAATATTAATAATTAACGGTTTGTTGAAAGAGCATGGCAGCCGGAAGGCTGAGAATATACAGTTACATAATTGGGGAATGGGTCTCTTGATTTACAAATGATATACAAGTAACATAAGTGATACAAATGTGATATATAATAACTAGGTGGAAAAACTACAAAATCTAAACTTAACAGTAATAAAATGATAATGTTCAAATGGGACAGTATTATACGATCCAGTTCGTGCTCGTAGTTGTGATTTGTTTTATGAATTCACGGACGATGGATCTCGGGTGGTGGTAGGATCCCGTGTCGAGGATGATGCAGAAGCTTGTCACCAAATTTGCAGATGAGGTCGTGGTGATGGTCAGAAAGAGCCGAAAGGGTCAGTTTGTTGAGCGCTTCTTGATATGTGGAGTAGGAAGGGGAGAGAATAATCTTGCATGCCGTCTTTTGCACTTTTTCTAGGTGTTTACGTTGTGTGGCATTTAGGGAGGAAGACCAGGTAGGGGAAGCATAGGTGAGCTTGGGAAGCATGAATGTTGAGTAAACACTGAGGAGCTCGGGCGCAGGAACTCCGAGCGACTTGAGTCGGCGGAGGAGGTTGAGACGGAAACTGGAGGATTTGACAACTTCACTGACGTGTGGTTTCCAATTTAGTTTGTGGTCTATGGTGACGCTGAGGAGCTTAGTGTGGGTGTGTGTGTGTGTGTGTGTTACTAACAGCCACTTGGTCATCAGGATGGTAATCTGAGCTATCGACATGCAGCGAATACTATGAATCCTATAGCAGTTTATCTTTAGGTCTGTTGCCTTACGTATACCATTTGCCAATTGATTACCAATTGATGCTAAAAGTCATCACTGAGAAGTAAAAGCCATTAGAAACTCAATAAATAGCACCAATAACCCAACTACGAATCCAGCGACGAGGATGACGAACATTCCCTAAAATAGAAAACGAAAAAATTACTTATTATAGCCCAGTTTTTTCTTGCTGTTTCTTTCATTTCAGTAGATATTTAAATGATTCTATAGGAATTCTATACACTCTTCCCATTAGTGCATTCGTTTCTAATGAATGGGCCCAAAGTTAGTAATCCACATTTTTAGGCTTGTAATGACAGAAAAATAATAATTTTTATCTGGCAACATTTAGTGTTCGTGTCAGACGAAAATGAAAAGCAAGCGCTTATGGAAAGGACTCTGTTATGTAAATCCTATAAAATGTTCAGAGAGAAGTAAGTGTACTGGTGTGATTATGTCATTCATGTTGTTTCCTTGTACTAGTGGTGACATTCTTAGCTATATTATCAATTAAAAATATGTACATCCTATCATGTAATTTAATAGCTATTCGGGCGCTGATGACCATCTGAATGGGCACCATTAGCAGTATAGAGCAAGTTGCCCAGATGAATGGGGAAAATGCAGTCCTATTGTGACGGTATTATTATTCCCTTTTATTTAATAGACAATGTTAATGTCAAAGCATAAAACTGGGGAATTATTGTGTGATTTTTTTTCTGAAACTATAAACCTTTATTATACTTTTTATGATAAATTTTACCACACAATTATCTTTTTTTTTGCGAGGGTTTTCTAGAATGTCGAAGTTGAGTTTTCTTTTTGCATTCGCTGTCTGATGATGAATCCACAGATGTTGACATGGTATTTGAAAAATTCTGACATTAATATCATTTCAGGGTAATAAACTGTTAAATAATGTAAACAAAAATCAGATCAGGAAGGAACACAAACTCAATGGGAAATTCGCTGTACAGTTACCCAGAGATTGCTAAGGGCAAGTGACGTCATGACAGAGATCTTTCTTGGCTCGTGATCACAGATGGTAGACTTTGGTTTATCCATCTTCATCCACTGGTAGAATAACCCAGCTTCAGTCATCGCCGTGATCCTGTGGGAGCGTGGAAGGAAGTATCTATAAAATATGTAATCAGAAGTCTAATTATAACTTCTAAAGCTGTGTAGTAATATCTTAAAAAGATTAATTAATTTACAGGATTTTACTGTATATTTATCAAGCTTACTTTGTCATGTATATCGGATTATAGATATAATGTCCTGCATAAAAACAGAATAGTTGTATACAGTATATATATATATATATATACATATATATATATATATATATATATATATATATATATATATATATATATATATATATATATATATATATATATATATATATATATATATATATATATATGCTGATAACCACAAGGAAAGAAGAAAACACGAAGTTCCCAAGCGCTTTCGTGTAATTCACATCTTCAGGGGTGAGTACAGACTAGAGAGAGAAATACAAATCAAGGTGTATATATACAGAGAAGGGTGAGACCAGGTCCACAATGGTCAGGTATTAGGTAATGACCCTACTAATCTTTAAATAGCACACAACGGTTGGTGGTCAGGTCAGATGGTCAGGTGACCTGGCCTTCTCACCTGGTCACAAATCTTCTTAATTACAAAATTGTCCAGCTTGTACATGCCGTTACTCAAATTCATGTTGAATGCTTCGGTATGTTTAATAAGACTAGATTCTATGATGTTCCTACTATCAATTGAATTACATGGTAATATTGAGGAGGCATTATCCCAGTCAATGCAATGCTTGTTATCCCTCAAATGAACAAACAGAGCATTGGATTCCTGGCCTGTCCTAACACTGTATTTGTGTTGTTTAATCTTGAAGGCAAGATCTTTACCTGTCTGGCCTAAGTAAAACATACACACATTCCCTTGCATAATATATATATATATATATATATATATATATATATATATATATATATATATATATATATATATATATATATATATATATATATATATATATATATATATATATATATATATATATATATATATATATATATATATATATATATATATATATATGTGTATATATATATATATATATATATATATATATATATATATATATATATATATATATATATATATATATATATATATATATATATATATATATATATATATATATATATATATATATATATATATATATATATGAAAAAGTAAAAAAAATATCGTAATATATATTTCTGTCTTTTCTCATGACAATAGTGCTCAGAGTTTGTAAAAAATAATATATTTATTCCTATACAACACATAAAATATATTACGGTTATATAATTATGATGAGCGGTCTAATATTTTTATAAATTGGGAAGAGCATAAAAAGGAAGAACCACAACTCAGGTTTTATTTTTCAATATAATATCCTGGCTTCAATACACTTACCGTACTTCACTTCTCCTTCAAGCTCACTCTGCCAGTCGAATGGATAACTTCTCATACCTCACCTTAATAGCCTCCTATAGCTTATCAACCTGAAGGAGGCGCCATCAGAGGTAAGACTTTAGGTTTTGAAATAGACAAAAAGCCACCTGGGGCCGGATATGGGTTGTAAGGAGGATGGTTGTGTTACTCGGGAACACAGGCGTAAATACACTTCTGTGCGTTAGGGGATCATTTCACTTGGATGACGTAGCCCAATTTCTGCATTTGGTTGTACCTGTATAATAGTTACCAGCGATCATCCTTTTAGGCAGTACATATTCGGTCAGCAAAAGGATGACTTCTGAATTTCTTGGGAGGTTGGAGAATTTGGATGTTTGTATCGTAGGGACTCCATCTATAATCTGTGGTCCCATTTATAAAAGAAAGTTGACTTTATCGATTTCATAATTTCATACAGTTAAAGAAACACGTGACTTGAGGTCATCTGGTGTCGATCTCGAGAAATGAGATTTCATGGAACCTCTTTTGCGGAACTTAGAAATCCACGCATGTTCATTGGTGATGGTTATTGCACTTCTCCATGATAAACGAACCACAGTCCTTATTTCATAAAGTTTGATACACTGGTCCACCATAAAGAAACTCTCCTCTCGGGCTACAGTTGTATTGTTGGTTGCCCAAAATTTTTATTTTCTCAGATGTCATTAAATATTACCTCAGATATAAAAAGTTGTATTCTATTAAAAAAAAATGACTGAAGCAACTACTCAGGTAGTTAACTTGATGTTAGCATAAAATTAGAACTCCATTGAAGTGTTTTACACCTGAATTACAGAACTTTTGTACCTTTCCTTATACCTCTTACTTAAAGCAGAAACAAGAGGACTGCCCTTTTGACCAATCATAGCCATGCTTCTAGGACGCATCGCTTCTCTTGAGGCGTAATAAGGGCAGCGACCTGTAGGAATAATTAAAGGGATTGAAATAACATGGATAATATAATAAAAATCTTAAATTACGAAACTGAGTACATACAATTATAATACATATGCTACTACTACTCTGCTGTCACTCGGAATCGAGTATGACGATCATCCAGCTTATGAGCTGTTCATGGATAATGGTAGCCTCGATGCTCCTACAGTTGGTGTCAGCGAGAACACTGGCATTTGTTCTCTTGTCTCCCCAGCGAATTCTGAGGATGGAACGTAGACTCCGTTGGTGAAAATTTTCAAGTGCCTTGAGGTCCCTTCTGAATCTGACCCATGTCTCGCTGCCATATAACAGGGTGGGAAGGACCACTGATCGATATACGTGCAGCACGCACTTGAACACACACACACACACACACTACTACTACTACTACTACTACTACTACTACTTTATTTTTTTTTATTGAAGGCCTCCAGCCTCCCCCAATAGCCACACCTTCGCCACCATTTTATTACCTTAATATTAAATATCCTAATACATAGGTAGCTATCCTATCTGTGTTGAATTAGTTAAGCCGCAGATCTATGCAGCATTCAGTGACTGTGGCCTCATAGTCAATATCTGCAGCAGTTGTCGGGATTGGGGCTGTATGATATATATGGACACAAAGTAGTACCTTCAGCTGTATATTGTTATATTACTCTTATTAATTATGTATAGTAAAGTATTACAGAACATGTATTAATTCTATGTAATATTCTATTTATTGTGCACCATATTATGTATATATATTATCACATTTATACTTTATGTATTCAGCTTGTGAATGCTGGCATTTGTACAGGCCAGCGCGTAGTAATACATAGATAGATGTAGATAGTGAAGACCGAGTCCTGGTGGCGTGACCACGGGCTTCTGCGTCCTACTGTATTATATCTCCCGTACGAGACTAGAACCTACTTTTAAAGACAACAAGTGTTTGTATATACCCTCAGTAGTATAGAACATTCTTTGGGTATCTGGCAATACGCTAGATGGCGCAGTGATTATTTCTCAGTGAGATACAGTGGACCAAGCCTTCCCCCGGACTCTGTTAATGGCGTCTTGTCTTCAGTGACTTCAGCTTCAGACAGCAAGACTACTACAAGCCTCTAGAATTACAGTGTTGTGAAGTGCTATGCTGTGTACAGTGCTGTGCTGTGAAGTGTTTTGTGAAGTGCTGTGTATTTTAATCATAATTGTCTGTGCAAGTTGCGGTCAGATGACTAAGGGAGCGGCCCGACAGTACGTGCTGTCCCGTCTCTGGTCTGAGGGTGACTGAGGAGCTAGCGCGACGCGGCCCACCCGCTCCTACGTCTGGCAGCGCGCCAAGTCTCTCCCGGCAACCCGCAAGACACACACACACACACACGCATTCACCTTATATTTCTGGTGACTTACTTGAGACTTCTGTAATTCTGTGCATAGATTACGAGGGGCTGACCCGGTCTTTTGCACAGATAGAGTACAGAAGCAGTCGGCATGACTCACAGGGATCAAAACGATACCCTGGACGATGGGGTTATGAGTTTTAGTGTGGGAGACCTCTCCCCACCCACGCTTACGCCCCACGCTCCCCACAGTGACACCGCCCAGTCACCCACAGAATCTCCTCGCTCGTCGCGAGCCAGCTCTCCTGCGATGCATGCGTCCACAGATCTCCTTAACTGATAAAGTGGATGGAAACTTCTCGACGCCGGGACGATATTGCAAGGAGAGAAGAGGAAGAAATTAGGTATAAAGAGTCTGAAAGACGACGCCACAAAGAGGAACAAACACGCAGAGAACTCGAAGAGATACGTAGATGTGAGGATGACCTTAGAAGAAAGGAGGATCAAGCCAGATTTGAAGTCTTGATTTCTCTGTTAGCCTCCCCACAACGATCTACCGTACAAGATTCGTCTGCTACAACTAACGTTGATGCGACTAGAGGTACTGGTACCTCATTTCCCAGAGTCGGAACAACACCTCAAAAGGCTGCTGTACAGACGCCTCCCTCTCTGATGTCTGACGCTTCTTATCAGATGTTTCGGGAATGGCGTCGACGTTGGCAAGACTACGCAACAATGGTTGACTTGTCCAGTTTATCACAGCCGAAACAAATGATAAAGCTTCGTATGTGCTTGTCCTTAGAGACGCAACGTACTCTCGAGCACACACTTCAAGTGCCTCCTACGACAACTCTGACGGTAGAAGCCGTGCTCGACACGTTGCAGGAACACGTCAAGGGACAGCGCAACGAAGCACTCAGGAGAAGACAACTCCTCCAATGTAAACAGCTTGAGGGAGAATCTTTTGACGCGTTTTTTGTAAGGCTCAAAAGGTGTTCAGAGGAAGTTGATGTTTGTCCCGGACATTCTCAAGTCTGTGAAGAGACACAACTTAAGACAATCATTTTAACGGGTGTCCGAGATGAAGAGCTAGTTCAGCGTCTCATTTCCCTCGACCCCACTTCCTCCCTTCAAGATGTTGTTACGAAATGTCGAGCGTACGAGGCCGCCAGGTGTGCGACTTCAGCTTTACGCTCACAGCCTGACCAGGTGAGGGCAGTGTCTTCCTACAGAAAGGGTAAGAAGCAGCAAAGTAACCCCACCCCTCACCCTCCAGCTACACCTTCAGCAGCAGCTTTGTGTAACAGCTGTGCGAGACAGCATAATGCCTCCCAGTGCCCAGCTGCTCAAAGCGTGTGCAGAAGTTGCGACCGCCAGGGTCACTGGGCTTATACAGTCAAGTGCCCTGCTAGCAAAGTTCAGTGTAGACTTTGTGGTCGTGTGGGCCATTATGACAAATGTTGTCGTAAGAAGACACATAAAGGACGCCACCTAGGATCCAAGAAGTCATCCTCAGGTAGTGCTGGCGCGCCCCCTCCTTCTGGCAAGCATCAAGACGCTGTGTCCAGTCGTTCCTGCCGTCGTGTATGTAGTTCCACAGACACGACGCCCCAGCACATCAATGTCGTCATTTCTTACGGTAACTCGTCATCCAGTCTTCAGATGTTACCTGACACCGGTGCTGACGTCTCAGTAATTGGTCCACAACATTTAGCAAGTTTGGGAATACCCCGGAGCAACCTACAGCCCCCTCCTCAGACAACGAAACTGACAGCTGATGGTTCCAAGATGGCTCCAGCTTTGGGATCTTTCTGGGCTACCCTTACCTTTGGTAAGCAGTCTTGCTCAGCCCGGATTGATGTTCATAATAGTATCCCGACTCCGCTCTTATCATATGGCCATTGTCAAGAGTTGGCCATTATTTCCAAGGAATTCCCTAAACCTATTTTAAAGGCCGTCTTCACATCAGAAGAGTCTACAGCACCGGATGCAGACAAAACTCTTGAAGATCTCCGCACCGCAGCCCGGGCCGAGCCTTCCTACATCCGGTTCGTCGACTGTGTGTCTCAGGGATTTCCATCTAACCGATACGACCTTCATGAATTGCTACTCCCGTACTGGAAAATACGCGAGGACCTCTATTGTGATGGAGACCTCGTCTTGTATGGTCCACGAGTAGTTATTCCTGCTGCCCTACGCCGCCGTACCTTGGCCCGCCTTCACGACAGCCATCGAGGAGTGGAGGCCACCAAGCGACGGGCGAAGCAGACTGTATTTTGGCCCGGAATCAACGCGGACATTGCAAGTACCGTCCGTGCCTGTGAACCGTGCCAGATTCTGCAACCTAGCCAGCAACAGGAACCTTTAATGTGCGACGATAACCCTTCAAGACCCTTCGAGTCTGTGTCGGCCGATTTCTTTGCAGTTGCAGGGAAGTCCTTCCTCGTCATTGCCGACCGACTGTCTGGATGGCCTGTTGTCGTCCCCTGTGGTAGTGATACAACGGCTACTGCTACCATCCGGAGCTTCAGGCATTACTTCAGAGAAGTTGGTGTTCCCCTCCGCCTCAGGACTGATGGAGGACCCCAGTTCACCAGCCACGAGTTCCGGGACTTCATGGACCGTTGGGGAGTCCGTCATGTCGTGACCTCGCCCCACTACCCCCAGGCGAATGGACACGCTGAAGCCGCAGTCAAGACTGTGAAACACCTGATCCTTAAGGTGTCACCCTCAGGAAATATCGACTGCGAGGACTTCGATCGAGGTTTGTTGGAGTTACGCAACACCCCGAACTTCACCGGACGCTCCCCAGCCCAGGTTCTATACGGACATCATCTCAGGTCTTGTGTTCCTGCCCACCCAAAGTCTTTTTCTCAAGAGTGGCAGGCCAAGACTGAGGAATGTGACCGCCGCGCAGCAGAACGAGCCGCCGATGTCGCTGCTTCATACGACTGTCATGCCCGCCCCCTTCCCAGGTTGAGTATCGGCCAGCAGATCTCACCGCTGGGACAAGGTTGGGGTTGTTATGGGTATTGGCCGGTCCAGGGACTACCAAGTGCGTCTTCCTAATGGTAGAGTATGGTGGAGAAACCGTCGTTTCCTCCGACCTGTGGAGCTGCCTAGTGTTGACCCCTCCCCAGTTGAGTCCCCTAATGTTGATGTCTCTAAAGTAAATCCATCCCCACCTTGTGTTTCTGCCCCAGTACTCCGCAGGTCCGAGCGACTCAGAAACAAAAGGTCCGCTCAAGATGAAACTATGAGCGTATAGGGGGGAGGGAGGTGTATGATATATATGGACACAAAGTAGTACCTTCAGCTGTATATTGTTATATTACTCTTATTAATTATGTATAGTAAAGTATTACAGAACATGTATTAATTCTATGTAATATTCTATTTATTGTGCACCATATTATGTATATATATTATCACATTTATACTTTATGTATTCAGCTTGTGAATGCTGGCATTTGTACAGGCCAGCGCGTAGTAATACATAGATAGATGTAGATAGTGAAGACCGAGTCCTGGTGGCGTGACCACGGGCTTCTGCGTCCTACTGTATTATATCTCCCGTACGAGAATAGAACCTACTTTTAAAGACAACAAGTGTTTGTATATACCCTCAGTAGTATAGAACATTCTTTGGGTATCT